AAAGGTCCTGTCTAAATGTAGGTGCATCAGATTTAACCAAAGCTCAGCAGTATTGGGTTAGTTTTACTCACCACAGCATAGGAAAACAAAAAAATAGTGTCCAATGTTCCCAAGAAGAGAGTTGCTTCTTCTGCATTTGGAAATAGATGGTTGCTGTTCCACAGCTACAGAGAGAAAATTGTAACTGGTAAACAGGGAGAAGCACAACTTCCTTTTGATGCAAACCCCAACTCCAAAGCAGAAGAGCATCTGGCCCCAGCAACCTCCTATTCTTCCAATACTTTAATTAACAAATTAAGAACAATTCTCACATTATTCACTGCAGAAAATGCCCATTGTCATTTTGTTTCACTTCTAAATGACATAATAGCAAGCCAAGTGAGAAATGCAACTTCCACCTGGATCAAGACAAATGACTGGAAAACAAACTCTGCTTCTAACAAGCACACAACTGTTAGACAGTTTCTTACATGCAAACACTGATGAGTATCTTAGTGAATAATACAATAAAGGCATGTTCTGTTTTATGTGCAGTGCCTCTCCTGTAGATGTCTGTCTTCTCTAAATGAATAATTCCCTTAAAGTCTTTGTGGCAGCAACCATAATAACGCATGACAGACCACAGACAGAAAAGTGAGAACACAAAAGGAAGGCAGGGAAGAAACAGACGAGATAGAAACTATGCACAATTAACTTCAGTTGCTAATTCTTTCATTTTTGTGTTAACCTATATTCAGTATGATCAAACAAAGGAAAAGGTTCAATTGTCCCCAAATTAGCATTAGAGACATCACTGGAAAAAAGCAAGCATTGAGGATGACTTGAAGAATGAATACAGTTTATTAGGACAATGCTTCCCCCACACTTAATCCCCATTAGAAAAACAAGCAAACAATCCAAACCTGGCCTACAAATGCAACTAACTCAGCTATTGTCAGTTTTAGTTTGATTCTGTCTCCCCAGAGGAGCATCCTATACAGACAGCACCAATAACACATCTGCTTAGTTTAAGAGACTTAACTTTGATATGGCCAAGCAACGCAGCTTCTGCTTAAGTCTCATGTGTCAAAGAAAACTAATAAAGCCCTTGAAAAACATTTGCCACTTGAAGCCACCAACACCCACTTATAGCAGTAGATCTCAACTTTTAACAGATTCCTGGAGTTCCACAAGCTACTAAGTGTCTTAGAAAGATAAGAGAATCAAATCTCCTGTCACTAGGTTTAAATTCATTATAAACCCTTAGAGGACTTACAAATCTGTAAAGACTGAAAAGTACAGATCTAATAAAATCATGGTATGGTCACCAGCACCAGAAAGCCAAAGCCAGAACGTTAAAGCACTGTAACCTCATTCACTGCTCTCTTTTATTGCCTCTGGCACGTCAAAGCAGGATCTCTCCTTTCCCCTCCCTTACCTTCTCTATTCTGCTGGCTATATCAGCAGGGAGGGTGTCTCAATCTCCATCAGAACACCAACTTCCTAACAAATTTCTCTCTGAGAACCATTAAGAAAGAGTTCAACACCAGCTGGTGATCCAGAAAACTACAATTCAGAAACCTGAAGTTCCCAAACATATTCAGAGAAGCAACCCTGACAAAGAAATAAAAGAACCTCTTCAGCACCACAACCCAAGCACACTGGAAGTTACTCATCTTTCTTAGCACCTGCTAGTTACCTCATCTGGCCGGAGCTCAAAGACTGTGCTGTTTAGGCAGGATGGAGTCCACTGGCTTGAAATGCTGACTTTGACATTACTGAATGTCTTTCTGGAAGCATGGAGCAAGGAATAACTGCCAGAAAAAATACAAGCACAGGTTGGCCAAATTTTCTCTGCAAATCACGTGGGAAAGGGTAAGACTCAAAATTCACACTTATATGCTCTGAGTAACAGAGAACTGACATTTTAGAGATGGTTGCTAGCAACGGGAGCCACAAAATCATGGGCAGACACTGATTTTAAAGAGGGAGAATCTGCCTTGTGCACCCACCCAGGCCAACCCTTCTGCCATGGGCTGAGTTCCTGGCAGTCAGTCTCACTTTTGGTGAGGGCTCCGATGGTGGCTGGATTCCCCAAGGGCACAGCACACTTCACTTTGCTATCAAAGGACTCCCAGACTGGCTGTTACTATTGACTTTTGAGTTTGTTTTCAAGGCTCAGAGCCAAAATTAAGAGTACGTCCCTACTTTTGCTCTCCTTCTTCAGACAAGCTCTGTACCTCCCCCAAATTCAGTGAAATGAACACCTCTCTGCAGAAAGACACTCAGCCTACCTGAAGAAGGTCAGCAGGAACACAATAATATGATGATGAGTGCAATGGGACACCAGGCCTCTGTTTGCAGGCTGTCTCCGCGAGCTTCCAGGCACAGCCATGGCCCTGCTCCTGCCCCAGCAGCAAAGGTTGGTTGGTGCTTAGGTCATTTTGTCCTCTTGCTTAAAGAGAAGAAGGTGGGAAGGGAGAAAAGAAGAAAGGATACGAATTAAAATACAAGTATAAAACACAGTGCTGTTCACCAAACAGCTAGAATTTAGTAGGAATGACTCTGCTATTCCTTCCCAATTCACTTCACATTTCTATTCATCTCAGCAGCTGCACGTTCCTTGACAACTTGTATTTTTTCACTTCCATTCTCCAAGTACCCCGTGGTCATCCTCCAACCTGCTTCTTTCTTGCACTCCTCAGTGCCCATCACCAGAGGAGTCCCTCCAGGATCTACCAACTGCAGTTCTTACGAGTCTTATGAGGAGCAGCTGAGGGAGCTGGGATTATTTACTCTGGAGAAGAGGAGGCTCAGAGGAGACCTCACTGCACTCTACAACTTCCTGAAGGGAGGCTGTGGTGAAGAGGGGTTTGGCCTCATCTCCCAGGCAATTAACAGGACCAGAGGAAATGGCCAAAGTTGTACCAGAAGAGGTTTAGGTTAGACTTAAGGAAGAACTTTTTCTCTCAGAGTGGTCAGGCACTGCAATGGCTGCACAGGGAGGTGGAGGAGTCGCCGTCCCTGGCAGTGCTCAAGAGGCGTCTGGACGAGGAGCTGCGAGATCTGGTTCAGTTTGTGGTAGCAGTGGTAATGGGAGGACGGTTGGACTGGATGATCTTACGGGTCGTTTCCAACCTTGTGATTCTATGATTCTCTTCCCATGTCAATGATCACTGTGCACTATTTATGTATTTGGTAGACTACAGAGCAGTCATATGTCATACTTAAGTTGCTCTGAAAGTAATGCCTCCTAATTATTTCCACAGAAACTACAACAGACACAAAGAGCAAAATAACACTATTTGATAGAGCAAATTGTCAGCAGTAACATCATTTTTCAACATGATTACCATTATTAGCTGTGCAATTTCACCATTGATGAACAAATGCCTGCACGCTGCACTCATAAAGATCTACACTTGTGGAGGTGACCTACTGTTTCACAGCTGCTATGAGGGTATTGTAGCTAGGAAATTGTTACTCATGCAGTTCACCTTCCCCTGGCCTGAACGCATGGAAGATAAAAGACACCAAATCAGGACTATACAGTGGGTGTGGTAGGACAGTCCAGCCAAGACTGGCAATGTGCTCCACAGTCTTCAAATTGGTGTGGCCCCTGTGCTGCAAGAGAAAGGTTGTCTTCTTCTCAGGCCTCACTCTGGAAGCTTAAGCCTTCAGCTTAGTCAGTATCATGATGTAGTGGTGTGTCTGGGTTCCAGAAAATCCAGAAGAATCACCCTTTTCCTATCCCATAAGACAGTGCACATCACTTTATCCACTGAGGGCTGAGTCTTGAACTTTTCCTTCAATGATGAATTTGTATGTCATCACTCCTTGGACTATTGTTTTGACTCCAGCTCACAATGGTGAAACCATGTCTCATCACCAGTAATGATATAAGCCAGAAAAGCGTCACCTTCAGCCTCATATTGGCTCAGTAGGTCCTGACAAACTCGCACGTGCTGTTCTTTCTGTTCCCGCATCAGCATTCACTGGATCTACTTTGTGCAAACTTTGCAATATTCCATCGTTGTCACTGTCATTTCCAGTGCACTGAAGCTGATATTCAGCTCTGTACACCATTCCCTGGTCGTAATCCACCAATTCCTGTGGATGAGCTGATGGAGACACTCTTCACTTCGTGGTGCAACAGCTGTGCACAGCAGTCTGGAATGCTACTTGTCCTTCATGTCACTGCTGAAACGCACCACCCACAGCCTCTCTGTGCTCACATCCACTGTTTGTTCTGCATAAGTGTTCAGCAAGCGCCGATGAATGTCAGTGGGTGCCATTTTTTTCCAGCAGCCCTCAGCTGCTCCTCCCTCTCCTGCGTGCTGCAGCAGACAACAGAGGTCTCCAGAGGACAGCAACGCACCGCAGCTTGTGCAACACTGTGGGAGAAGTTCCTTCCCCGTGCAACCTGCCTGCACAGAGATTTATTGCTATCCCTGTGCCAGCACACACACGCACAGCCTGCAGGGCTGAGTGCTGGGTCTGACCCCACAAGTACCATCTTTGTATAGAGTCACGGAATCATTAAGGTTGGAAAAGACTGCTAAGATCACCCAGTCCAACCACCAGCCCGTGCCCACCGTGCCTACAGACCGCGTCCCTCAGTGCCACATCCACACGGCTCTGGAGCACCTCCAGGGGCAGTGACTGCACCACCCCCCTGGGCAGCCTGTGCCACTGCAGCACCGCTCTTTTCGAGAAGAAACGTTCCCTAACACCCAACCCGAACGTCCCGAGGCTTCAACGTAAAGCCATCCCCCGCCCAGCCGCCGGTCACCGGGCACAACCCGGGCGCGGCCCCGCAGCCCCACGTACCGCACCGCCGCGGCGCTCAGGAAGTGGCGGCCGGGCGGCTGTTCCGGCGGTGGCGGCGCACGGGCACGGCGGGACTTGTAGTCCGGGAGTCCGCTCAGCGCCCGCCCCGGGGAGGCTCCCAGGGGTCCCGCCTCGCAGCCGGCGCGGAGGAGAAGGGAGGGGAAAGGAGGGGAAAGGAGGGAAAGGGAGCAGCGCCGCCCCTAAGCCGAGGGGTGGAGGAAGAGGAGGAGGAAGAGCCGGGACTACGTTTCCCGCCGGCCCCAGGGCGGCGGGGCGGGGTATAAAGCGGCGCTACCTGGCCGGCAGGTGAGCCGTGCAGGTGGGCGTTGGTGGGGCGGCTCTTGTCCGGGTCGCGCTGCCCCTGCAGGTGCGGGCAGCCCCGGGTCGGGGCGCGGTCCCTCAGCCCCTGCTCTCCTCTCGCTCCAGGCTCGGGCTGCGGGATGCCGTTCTCCAGCTCCAGCACGGACGATGCCTTCGATTACCTCTTCAAAATCATCCTGATCGGGGATTCCAACGTGGGGAAGACGTGCGTGGTGCACCGTTTCAAGACGGGGCAGTTCTACGAGAAGCAGCAGAACACCATCGGAGTGGACTTCACCGTGCGCTCGATGGACATCGACGGCAAGAAAGTGAAGGTGGGTGATGGGAGCGGGTTGGGAGGCGCCTCGGGGCGGGACTGCGGCCGTGCCTCCATTACCGCATAGCGAGCGCGGCTCCGGGGGGACCGCAGGGCGGTGTGTGAAGGGGGGATGTAAGAAAGAAGGGGCCGGGCTCTACAGTGGGGTCTGCTGCGATAGGACGAGGGGAAGTGGTTTCGAACGAAAAGAGGGGAGATTTAGACTGGGCATAAGGAAACAATGTTTTATGATAAGCGTAGTGAAGCACTGGGGGAGGTCGTCCAGAGAGGTGGTGGGTGCTCCATCCCTGGAGACACTCGAGGTCAGGCTGAAGGGGCTCTGAGCACCCTGATGTGGCTGTGGGCGTCCCTGTTCATTGCAGGGGAGTTGGGCTAGGTGGTCTTTAAGGGTCCCTTCCAACTCAAACGATCCCATGGGAGGTCAGGTAGCAGACTCCTTCCCTCTGCTAGCCCTGCAGCAGGTTCATCTGCTTTTCCCCTTACCTGCTAAAAAGCTGCCATACTCCTTATCTCTCAGCCCACTTGCTGAAAGTGGGCATGTTGGTCTATTTATAAAGCCAGCATTAATCTAACAGAGTGCTCTTTAGTCTGTGTAGGTTGTCTGTATACAAATACCTCTTCAGATCATAGAATCATCATTCACAGAATGGCCTGGGTTGAAAAGGACCACGATGATCATCTAATTTCAACCCCCCTGCTATGTGCAGGGTCACCAACGACCAGACCAGGCTGCCCAGAGCCACATCCAGCCTGGATCTACTGGTCTTCACAACTTGAATCCTTTCTCTTGCAGATCCAAGTGTGGGACACAGCTGGTCAAGAGCGCTTCCGGACAATAACCCAGTCCTATTACAGGAGTGCCCATGGAGCCATCCTTGCCTATGACCTTACTAGGAGGTCCACATTTGAGTCTATTCCTCACTGGATTCATGAAGTTGAAAAGTATGGTGCTGCAAACTTGGTCATGATGTTAATTGGTAGGAATCTAAATTTAAATATTACATTATACAGCTTTTCTAATATATGTGTAAAATCCCCCTCATTTCCCTACTGCTGCTTAAAGCATCTATGAACCTATGAGTTGAAAGGGAATACGGTTTTAATTAAAATAATGAAAATACATATCAGTTTGATTTCAAGCAAAAAGAAAGTCACAGCCTGACCCTGGCATGACCAGGCCCATTGCAGGCAGTGAAATCTCTTCATGCGTTCCTTTCCTGCTGGAATAATGCAAGGAACTTGCTAGTAGCTTAGCAAGCAAACGCAACCCTATTGGTGTTAGAATGGCACTAAACCTGACCCTGTGCTCCTGATGTGCAGGATAATTCAAAATGAAAAGGGATGCATAAAGCAACACAATTCCTCCTTCTCGTTTTTCCTCCCTGTTCTTGTGAGAATGCCTGTCCGTTGCTCTGTAATGTGACTCTGACTGGGTAAGACTGTGCACAGCTTCTGCAAAGCACTAATAAGTCTGCTTGCACTTCTCTCCCTCCTTTATTCCACTAGCATTCAAGAAACTTTGCCTCTCAAGGAAAGGAATGAGTAGAAACTGCTGAAGTTGGAGATAAGAGGGAGCAGGATGATTCTTTCCCTTTGGGTTTCAGATTGTTATTGCTCTTTCCCTCCCCCAAGGAAGAAGGCAAATGAGAGCCCTGACATGCTGAAGTGATAGAGCCTTTATCTACTTTCCACTGCTTCTGCCTTTTCCACTGCAGCACGGTGCTGAGAGCAATGCACGCAGCCACAGCAGCCCAAACTGGCTTTTGAGGATAGGCAGCACTGAGCCCTGGAGCACAGCAGGCATGGGATTTAAGCTGCTGCTGGTGCCTCTAGCAAACTATGTGCTTCTGGTGTTGTGGTTCTTCCTGTTTCTTCAGAGGGAGAACAAATTCTGACCTGCTTGTGAGCTGGGAGGAGGAAGGAAGGACGAAAGAGAGGCAGGGGGGAAAAAAAACCACAACAACCCACAAACCTTGGTGGTAGGGTTTTTCTAACTCTTTTAATGGCTGCAAAGAACAAGATCTATTAGTGTGTATGGTGGGGTCTTTTTTGTTTATTTTTTTCTCTTAAACTCTGAAATTAGTAACAATCAAGCTTTTATCAGAGGGTTGGTGTGGTAGCTTCTTCTGGTGCTGGTGCTATTTTACTTACCTTAGCAGGAACATTGAATTAGGTGTAGAAAATGGCTACAACTTTCCAGTGGGACAGTTAAAAGTTTTCAAGCTTTCACATCTGGAACTGAAGGAGGAAAACACCTGGCACTGGAGGAGGAAAGAGCCAGGGCAGGGTAGTCTTTAAGATGGCAAATAAACCTCAAGTAAGGCAGTCTTGGGGGCTTGTGCTTTGCTGATACTGTTTGTTCCTTTCTGGAAAAGCTAGAAGTGACAGGCAACCAGTTTATACATACTGTGGTGTCGAGATCTGCATGTGATGAAGGGCTGTCTTGGAGCTAAGAAGGTAAACTTAAGCCAGGCACTGCACGTACCAGGACTGGTACTGCAACTACTTAAAGCGCTTCAAATAAAATATACCTTTGTATATTTATAACTTCTATCAGATTATGATTGTTGTTTTGAGTAGAGTTTTCATCTTTGTGCTTTCAAAGAATCCTCCGGCACTGCTATCTAGAGCAAATAACTAGATAAACACTTTTTTGTAGGTCTTCTCTTAAACTCATTTGATTAGCTATGGTTTTGATCAATGTTCTGTGATGGTGGCTCTGACATGCTCACATCTTGCTTTGCCAGTTATTTGTTTCCATTGTGATTCTATTATTTAACAAAACTGAAGTAATGCATTGGACTTAAAGGAAACAAAAATGTGAGAGGCTAAATTATCGGGTTATCTATTTGCCTTCTTTTAAGGGAACAAATCGGACTCAGTGGATAAGCGACAAGTCCTGTTTGAGGATGCCTGCACGCTGGCTGAGAAGCACGGGCTCCTAGCTGTGTTGGAGACATCAGCAAAAGAAGCTCAAAACATTGAAGAGGTGTTTGTGTTGATGGCTAAGGAGCTGATAGCCCGAAATACCTTGCAGCTTCACGGAGAGAGTCCTCCAAACAGTGTCTACCTTGATTCCAGGCCAGTGATTGCCAGTCCAAGTGCAGAGAAGACCCAGTGCCTTTGTTGAATGCTCTTTTCAGGAACAAAAAATTGGAAGTTGTCATTTTTCTGAGGCTATGTTTGATCTCAGTTTAATTCGGATGATGAAAGTTTGCTACATGGCCTCAAGCCACCTCTCATATTTCTACCTTGCAGTTTGGTGTGTAAATATCCTCAGAGATCACTGTTGCTGTTGGCAGCACAGGTTGCTTTGAGCATAGCAACTGATACCTTAACGTGAACTGGTAAGCTGAGAGAGCTCAGGAAGCTGTCAGCCTTAACCAAAGAGAACTGTTTAAAAAAAAAAAAATTACCTTTAACTATATCTTTAAGACATTTTTCTGGCTATGTCAGGAGATAAATTTGCACTAGAGCTTGCATTGAGTTGATTCTTCTGAGATGTGCCGTCTGTTGTAGTGCAAGCACTTCAGCTTAAAATGTCTGATGTACTTGGACAGCACTAACCCACTTCTGCCTTACCTGTCACTTAGAGGAGGGCCTGATGTAAGGCACAGAGCCTCCCGTGCCTAGCTATTAAATACCAACATTTGTAAGACGGTGCAATTTCACAACTGTACTATTTTCTCACTTGGCAAACCTGGAGTCATCCTTGATGCTTCAAAGCAGGCAGAATATGGTATGCTAGGGTCCCAATCTTCTCCTGGGAGTGAGAACTCTTGTCTTTCATTTTGTTCTTGAATTATAAGAATTGTAACTAGTAGTGAGCTGTCTTGTTACAGTTATTAGAAGCACTGAAGCTTCCAAGGCCACAACAGCTTTCATTAATGCTGGGGTGAAAGGACTACTTTGTTTTCCTAAGCCTGCCTTGCTTTTGATGTACTGATTTTAATCAAAAGCTGACTGTTAGTTTGTGTGAAAGTGCAATGGTAGAGTGTGCCTGGAGACTTTCAAAGGCATGTGAAAGAAGGGATTCAAGTCTGTGTAAAATAGCAACAAGGGGTATGGTTTAATAATGCAACCTCACCTTAGAGCAGTTAAGGGATGGGTGTTGGGCATACAAGTATGTATGCTATTGCCTGGGAGACATAATGAAACATCTTGGTAAGCAGTGGAAGATTTTGTCTCATCCCTCCCAAGTGCAAGCAGTGCTACTGGAGAACTCAATTCTATGCACAGGAACTGAAAGCAGGTGGGGGGGGGTTGTTAACTTTTTCAGTAGATATGAACAGTGGAGGAGAAGGGGGGGGGAAGAAATAATGCACAGGAGAAGCCTTCAGATGACACAGTCCACATGTACTGAAGTGTATCACTGAAGCTGTTAATGTTTAAGCTATGAAGCAGAAATTATACTCTGTAATGATAAAATACAGTCTGGGTTATATGGAAAGAAGCCCTGGGAGGGTTGGCAAGCTGCCACTTCATGAGATGGCACTTTACCTATGATGTTTCACAAGTTCCTGAAAAGTGGAGAAAAAGATGTAGCAAATCCTTCTGTAAAAGCTTGTCTGAAAAGCACAAAATAGAGTAAATCATTGCTTTAGTTTTGAACATAATTTTCTTATTGTTTGCTCTAGCCAGGCTCTTTGCTAGTACACACTAAGAACAGTGGTTAATTCAGCTGCCTGTAAACACAGCAGAAAACTGCACAGCTCAGGCTTGCAATTGAGCTGTTGTGCTTTATTCTGCACTGTTCCCTTTCAGTTAATGGATGTAATGGTCCCTCTGTCTTTTTTTCAAGAGTCTGGTGTAAACTACCTATTCTGCCATTCACCCTTATGCAACTCAAACAGGAGCGTGTGCTCTCCTTTGGTTGCTTCTGCCTGGTGCCTTCAGAAGCCTTCTAAGCAGTTATAGTGAATGGTTCCCACGGGGTCACTTTTCCTTCACAGAAGGAGCTTAGAGTGAGCTGCAGCAGTTGCTGAATTTGATTAATATGTTAAAGTTGCTGATTAATAGATTAATTCATGATTTACCTGACATGAAGAAAACTATTAAGTCTGTTAACAAGCTTTATTCTGTTGTTCTACAGTGTATAATAGCAACCATTAGATTTGTAACTTTTGTCAGTGCCTTTCTCCATCACAGCAAATGGAAGGGTGCAGCTGCTGCCCATGCAAGTTAACCAAGAAACAGGTTAACTGCTGCAGAACCTTATGTTACCATTTTTGCTCTTCCAGCATCATACACAAATCCAGTGTAGTTCCTGATGGCATCGTTAGCATGCCTGTAGGAAGGTAGCTCTTCTATAAATGTTGTTCACAATGCTATGCTACAAATTACCACTGTCCCACAGTTGTAAGAGCTGTGCATCCAGCTGGAGGAGATGCTCAATTGTTTTTACCTACCTGGAAGAAGTATTCAAACCTTAGCTGTCTGAATTTGCTGCTGTGCATTCTTTGCACTGAGGGACACACCCATGTCACATGAAGCAGAGGCAGCACCTCCCCATGTGGCAGGGCAAAGAACTGAAAGAATTCTGAAATGGAGTATGCACTGAAGCCCCTCAGAAGCTGACTGGCTTAAAAATAAGCATAATTACAACCCAGTGACATGAAGGCATGTGGCACTGCTTATGTGGTCACACTTTTCTACATACATAAGATACAGGTTCTTAATAGCAAAAGCTGAGGTTCTTACCTAATCATTCCAGTTAAGTATAGTTGGAAAGGAGACCGAGGCGGCACATCTCAGGCCCGCACCTGGTACAGAGCTCTGTCCTGGAGACTCCTTTCAGGAAGCAGATGCATGCTGGTGCTTTGGGACAGAACTAAAGCTACCTCCTTTCCCCAGTAGGCTAGTGTTCTAACCATAGCTGCTCCTCCCCAGCTCTCATATATGGAGGAAGACTGCTAATGAAGTTGAAGTCTATGTATGCAAAACACATTCAACTCAAGGCAGAGGGAAATTTAGTACTCAACACCCTTTCTACCAACTCCTGAAGCCATTTTCCAACACCTCTCTCATGTGTAAGGACCACAACCACAACAGACAGTGCTAGGATATACAAGCAGAGTTGCTTTATTCAGAGCGAGAATCTCTTTCACTGAGAAGTACATCAACTTTTAATAGGGAATTGCACACTTGAGCATTTCACTGTTAGCTTCAGACAGTTAGGTCCTTTAAAGTCATTTACTGCACTTTAGTGATGTTCGAAAACCAGCCTCAGCTTAGCTGCCCACAAAGGCTTTGTCTATGTGATCACATTAAGCTGCTGGCAAGGAGGTGTGGACAGTGGCTGAACTGCAAATGACAAATAGCAAACCCATGGGTAACAGCAACGATAACAAGTTAGGGGCAGAAATTTAATATACTTGCAACTCTTATTTCCTTGATAAAAGCTGTATCCATAAACATTACTGCTTGTTAGTTATCACTGCCAAGTCTGGCTAGATTTGCTCACCAGACATAAGGCTTACCTCAATTGCACACGTACACAGAGTTAAATAATGCCTCTAATTCTACAGCTGATTTAAGTTGCCTTTGTAGCTCCTTTGTTGCTATTTGACCCATACAGCACAGTCCCGTATTCTATCGCAATCCCAAGAACCGTGTGGATTCCCTCCCTTTAAGCTGCTGCAGCATTAATAACGCCACATAGACAAGTTCCATTCCAAACAGGAGACACTCTGTACCTCAAGTCACACTCCAATAGAAATTCACGTTGTGCCTTCTGTAATAGGAAAGAGTTACTATGCATTTCCTTAAATGAACCAGGCCTCCCAGCAGCAAGATTACAATACACATTGTTACAAGCAGGAAAGAGCAGCACTTAAAAAGGACTGTAAAGAAGCAGAGGCCCTGAGGCAGCAGTTAAGCTGTTAAGAAGCGCCCTTTGCTTTTACAATTGCCATCAGACATGCAAACACTTATTTCACAGTTACAACACGACGCAAAATTTCAAATGAAATCGGAAGTATATTTTCCTGCACAGGGACTGAAGCCGAGGCACTTCAAATGACAGCATGCATCTTTTTTCCCCCCTGAATAGTTTGGTTTTGAAATCAAGATTTCCATCAACCTTTTTTCAGCTCAACACTGCCATGCATATTCCCATTGTTCTCTCAGTCTCTTCAGTTTCTGTATCTTGGGAACTTACTTACTATGTACTACATTTTCTTTTTAAGCTTTACTCTCCTTGTTTTCACATTAAAGGTTGATCTTCATTCTCATGAATTTATTTGCTCTTATAGAAGAAAACCACAGCAGCCTACCAACATTCTTCACTCACTCCAAAGACCCCACACTTTTCAGCCATTCCCGTTGGTAGCGTGGCAGACAATTACAGCACAACAGCACACTTCAGAACAGGCCTACCAACAGCTGGATTCACACAAGAAGAAACACACAGTGTTGCTCAAAGACAAATACACGCAGCTCCTCTACTTGCAGAACAAGAGCCAGCAGCACTCTTCAAAGCAAGAGAACAACCAAAACACCTCACCACAATGAGCTGGACTACACCAATCACCTTGCAAGTGGACAGAACCACCTCCTCATTAAATCACTTAGTCAAGTATTCCCAGCTTGCCTGAAATTATACACAAGCAAGGTTTAGAAGCAGCAACACCTAACACCCAAAGCAAAAGCAGAGCATGCTATTTCTGACCCTTTGGGAAGGAAAACTGATCCTCGTGCTTGTAAGTCCATTACCATTCTCCATCCTCATGGGTCACATCTTCACTACATTTTGAACATAGCTCTCTGGTAAGAAGCTGGCAACCTACCTTCACTGTGTGGAAGCCTTGTTCTACTCCACAGCCCTAATTTTTTCCTACTTCCATTTCATTTACATTTGCATTTCTCCCTCTGCTGCTTGCCTCTGGAAAAAGAAGATCTGACAATGATTTTAGACTGCTCAGCTCATCTTTCCTCATATTCCTGAGCAAGGCTAAATACGCTTCTAGTATTTAACTTCCATCTTTATGCATTTTTTGTAGAAGAATGCTTCTTTCTGAACACACATAGGTTTAAACAAGCAAGTGGATTCCCAGAAAGCAGCCTGTAGCAATGCTTAAACTTGCTGTCCAGACAGCATTACAACAGGAAACTTTATAGAAAATGCACTGCAGTTGTCTTTGTTGAGAACAAACAGAAACAGTACCATAGCATGGAAATCATTTCTGAGGAAGCCGCTTCTATTCCCATTAACACCTGCAGATATTCTTCCAGCAGCTCAATCATCTCAGCTTACGTTCAGAATGTGTTCCTTCCATCACAAAATCTTCATTGGAAAAGTTATAAGAAAGTTAAAAACTTCCTTTTAGCATCACACAATTCTAAGCAACAAATTAGTACAACAAAAAGTACAACACAAACACCCCCTCCCCCCCCCCCCCCCCCCCCCCCCCCCCTCCCCCACCTCACCCTCCTGAAACAAAAAATACAGAGGCTTCAAACATAAAAGAACAGACAGACCTCACTTGATTTTTTGGGGTTTTTGTTTTTTTCATTTTTTTGTATTTTTTTATTTGGGAAAAGTGCTTCTTACAAAAGGCAGCTGCAAAACATTACATTATAGACCTCAGAACAATTTCTCATTCCAATTAAAAGTGAAAGGAGAGGCAGTCTAGGGGACAAGAGCAGCAGGAAAACAGATCACGGGGCATCCACAAGTCAATAAAAAAAAAAAACAGCAATAATGTAATGCAAGGTTAAAATTCCTGTACTGGAGCTTTGGTGGCAATGTAATTTCACAATGCAAATTACAGCCAGAAACTGCATGACCAATTTCCTAAGCAGTAACTCACGTAAGCTGACCAGCTTGACCAGGCAGCCTGCCCAACTCAGATGCTGAAAGGCACACGTACCTTGAACCAGCTGAGAGGCACAGAGATTTCCTAGCAAAGCTCATGGCTTACGTGGTCACACCAAGTTCTAAAACTTAAAGAGCAATACAGCTAAAGGGGCCTCTCATGTTCCTCTGACCCCACTCAGCTAACCGGACTTCTGCTCCTGGACAACCCTAACGAAACACATGAAAGAGAGCTGGTGTATCAGGGAGTTGCACATGACAGATTGTTGCCACAAACTGAGCTGAGACCACTAAACCAGTTTCATGTCCAATTGGAGGCTAGACTTCATGCACCAAGAGGGGATGAAAGGTGGCCTTGTTACTTAACTTACACAGAGTCTCCCCATCCTCGAGGTCCAACTCTACATTTATCTGTATATACACATAGGAAGTTCTCCTTTCACTAAGACATTATCCTTTCATGCTAGACACAGTAAAAACCCGGAACATTCACACCTGGTTCTGGTTACACAGTAGTAATAGTAATGTGCAAGTAAACAAGAGTCCAAAATCACAAATGACGATGTGTACATGAGGGGGCTGGAACGGAGCTGATGCCAGAAAAGGATTATTTGTATCTGGCCTGACGTCAGAAATATTGATACAGAGACAGAAAAGAGGCCATCAGCCAATTTACATCCCCACTGCATGGCCACTGCTCATTTTTGTATCTGGGCTCTTCAAAATGAGTGTGGAAGTCCTGTAAACACTTTAACCCTGGAACTGGGTGAGCTCTGTTGGGTACATAGATGAAGCAACAAACCTAAGCTAACTGTTTGACAGTTAAATTCATTTTTACAAAAACTAAGATTTTAAAGATTTCTTGTTATTTGTTTAAACAGAGGAGAAACAACACTCTTGGGGTGGGAGGGGATGGGAGAAGACAGACCCTGGGTAA